AGCACCGGGGCGCGAGTGTGCGTTGAATCGCGCCGGGACGATAACGGGATGAAGGGACAGAAACGGGACGCGGACACAGAAAGGGAACACGGGGGTGGGGGAAAGAAGAGCGCGATGAAGAGAAGAGGTAAGAAAAATTACAGACGAGAGGGTGCATACTATCGTTCAGTTTCACCACCGGCGCTATTTCTTTTCCTTTCTATTGCCCCGGCTCCTTCTTGCTCCTCTCGCTCTCTCTTGTTCTTATCCCTCTTCACGAGCTCGTATAATCCGCAAATTACTAACCTAACCTCCGAGCGCCTCGGAGATCAAGCCTTGTTCGAGGTAGATTCAAAGAAGGTAATACTCCGGCCAGGACTTGGCAAGAATCCGCGGCAAAAAACCGACGAAAGAACGATGAAATACTCTTCTCTCCTACGGAGAGAGAGAGAGAGAGAGAGAGAGAGAGAGAGAGAGTTTTCGTCTTCCTCTTTCTTGCCGTCTGAAGAAGCTGTCTGTGCCCTTTTGGCCAGTCGTGTTTCTTTCTTCTACGTCCTCCGTAAGTAACGTCGCGCGCGCTTGATATATTCCCACAGTTTACCAGATCGCGCGTGTTCTCGATGTTTGATACGTGGAAGTTACTTTTTTTTCTTTTTGTTTTTTTATATATCCTATGTTTTTGGACGCGCTTCCAAAATTGCAGTCAAATACGCGAAAACGAGGGAGATATATGTTCCCGGCGGCGAGATGTTAATGTTCCGCCCGAGTGACCGAGATATATCGCGTGTAAGAGAAAACTCGCTTTATTGATTTTGGAGCTTCCCACCGTGTACGGGTGTTTGACACAATTTATTTTTCTCAAGCGAGCACCGAGAAATGAATATTGAGAGAGACATCTGTATATCAAAAATCATATTAAATTGAAATAAAATATGTTTTTTATTACGCAAATTATCCTAAGAATATCGACAGTTTTTTAATCAACGATCAGCGTGTAACAAAATATTATTCCATCGTAAATAACGTAAATGGTCGTCCGGTCAATCAACCAAATGTGTATACACCTATTGTTTCCCCTAATCTCTTTTTAATTTTAAACCCGTCGTTGTCTCCGTCCCCCCTCTCTTCTCTATGTACCATTTTCCAAAAAGCACCCAATAAAGGTTGAGTTTCACGATCGATCGTTAACTTAAATAAACGAGGTGAACACGCTGTAGAACTCGCGAGTACACGTGTGAGGAGAATGAAACGGTGAAGAACGGTGAACGACAGGCGACAATGTCGCCATCGTTCACGATAATGAGAGCGTCCGATGCCTGTCGGTGCGATATCGATGATTTGCCCGTTATTGACGCGTCTATCGATGTGTACGTCATGTATCCTTTCGTATGGCTATAACCATAATCGTACATCATCACGCACGGATATACAAGCTGATACAATACCATCGATATTATTTCTATAAAAAAAATATATATACAACGCATATATATATATCATAAATACATTTTACTATTACATCATCGCGACGATAGAAGATTTTTCATCAAATTGTCACGTCGCATCACCAAGACGTTTTCAATTCAAAGTTTTGTTAATCGAAAACTGAGAAAAGCGAAAGAGAGAGAGAGAGAGAGAGAGAGAGCTCATGAAAGAGAAAAGAGGATGCATTTATGTGATCGTTCGATAAAGGACGTTCGTTCATCGAACCTCTCTCGTCGCTGCCAATATAACCGATTTTAGTGCCTCGTGAAACCGAGATCCTTTTCATTAAAGCTTTTACTGCTGACTAAATACGGTGAACTGCGGCGAAGGGTCGGGGATAAAGCGGGCCCGGAGTATGTACGCGAATGAGAGCGAGTGGGAGGAAGTTCTAATCTCCCGAATGTTAACTTGGATTACGTGCAAACCGACCGACCTTCTCTAGCGGATAATAAAGAGCGCGAGAATTGTGCATATACTATTTACCCGCTCAATTGAAAACACGGAAATATCGATAGCTTAGTTCATATATATATACGCGAGATGAAAATTGAAACACAAATCCGAAAAATGTGTCGTCGATGATGCTCGCAATTCTCGCAAACGTGTCGCTAGTTAGAAAAAGTGTCCGAGATTTAACACGGCAAATCAACCCGGTCTGTTGCAAACTTCAGCATTAAATTGTGTTCTTTAGCGGTGACCCGAGGTCGGTGCGTTATTATTGTCAGCTTTTCTAAGAATTTTCATCGTTGCATCGATACGCGGCCTCGCGTCATCCGAACGCCAAGTTACTCTATTTCGTATCATTGGCTCTCGCTGTTTAAAGAAGCGTCGTTTCTGCGCGTCAGTGTGTGCTTTAAAAGACGAGGTCGTCGGTGCAGAACGTTGAGAAGAGAGACTATACGCGTCCAGACGGCGACGTTGTCGACGGCGCCAAGCGCCGTGCTAACTAGCACCCCTAGCACACACATACACGCCCACAGACCTTTATTAAACGTCGCCACCCCCGTCGGCATTCCCTCCCCACACACTCAGCCTTCATCAAATTGAACACGACGTGTACGCACCGACGACGACGACGCGCGCACGTGCACTTATAAAGCGGAAAAAAAAAACGGAAAGATTTTTTTTGGCAAAAATTAGCGAGATAAGAGTTCAAAGAATCGCGGCGATTACAGGACTCGCGGATTCTTCATCCCGATGGAAAACGGGCGTGTGTTGCGTCAACGCGCAAGCGAACCAAAGTGTGTCATTCAATCGACTCGTTATGATTGTTCATTACAAGTGTATCTCGAGAAATAAAACATATAAACTAAATCTATAGAGAAGAAAGCCGAGAGTGTTCGTGAGAGTGATGGATTATTATTATTATTTTTTTTTTTTCATTGTTTTATCTTTTTTCCTCAATTCCAAAACGATTATTTGCATAAAATACAATAGCGATTAATTGCTCGTCTCAATTGAGACACTGTTATTCCATTACGTGGCAACTTCTCGAAAACAAATGCTTGACTTGTAACCAGAACCGAGCACTTGCGCTCCATCTCGAATGACTAACGATCTGATAAGATGGAGAATGATTGATAGGATTACACATGTACGCTCTTGACTATTAATTAACTTCCTAATACAAACACATTTACAGAAACACACATAAGTTTGTCGCGCAATTTACTTAATGAAATAATATTCGATATCGTTAATTTACACAATTTTCTCCGTCTCGCGATTATGATTGATTATGATTGAGAAATTTTACATAAAAATTTGCGAGAGAATTTTCAAAGAAAATTGTCACGTAATTCTTTTTGTCACAAAAATTAATTAACTAACAGTGTCTGAGTAATAATTTGGTAATAACAAGTCTCTTGGTTTTATAAAAAAAATTTAATAAGAAATAAAACACTACTACGAATGTCTCACTTTTTTACGTGAAACCTTTTTATTATAATTCTTACTTTATTTCTATCTTTAAGAGTCGGCGACTTTCTTTTTTTTTTTTTTTTTTTTTGAGATTCTCTGGTGCAGCCTTTAAGAAGGAGGTTCAACCGACTAAATTATCGACCCTCTCCTTCAATTCAGCGCTTTTACCCCCGGCTTTCTAAATTTAGTCAACTCGTTCGATGCCATTTTTTTTTACTTACCACCGAGCGAGCTCACCGCCGGCCTAATCGCGTTAATTTTGTAGCCGCTGGTTCCTTTGACACGGCTCATGTGGATGGGACAACCCCGCTACCGTCGTGTGTGTTGCCTTTGATTCCCGCGTCGTCAGTGATTAACCTGACAAGAAAAGAAAGGCATGTTGAATAAACTCGGCGCGGTCTTATTTCTGTGTTTGTTGCTATATATGCCGAAAAACCGCGAATTTGAGGCGCAAATTCTTTGACGTTGCAAAAATTACCATCTCTCCTTTCGTCGGGGAAAAAATTTACAAAGAACAACTTTATAATTAAATGCGTTCGCGGCGAAGAGCAAAAGAAAACACACAGGAAGAGAAGTCCGCGATCGGCACCGCGAGATCAACATGGCGGCGGCGCGACTAATCGAAGACGAAAATCGATATTTGAAACTCGATTGCTATAATATCCGTCGTGCGGTGTGCGTGTACACGTAATAATAAAAAAGAACGAGCAGTAATTTATCGTCACGTCACTTTATATATCGAATCGTATTTCTTCCGATAAAAAACGAATGGCAATTTGTAAAAAAAAAAAAAAAAAAAAAGTCAATAACAGAGTGTTTTATTATTTATCGTAGAAGCTATAAGCGAAATGAGTGAGTAAAACTCGGAAACACATAATTCCGCGGTATAAGCGAAACAAGCGACAATTGTACGAGATACAAATGCTCCCGCAGATTGGCGCAATACAAGCGTAATGTCAAATAATTGGAATTAACGCAGATTGAGAAACTTTACAGTTTCCGGGCTATTATGTAATTATGGATCTTGGTGTTGTAACGGCTCATTTGAACATGCACGTGTATTCCATTCTGTCTACGCCGTCTGAGATAATTTGGCCGCTGTGCGGTCACAGACAACTTGTGTGGATAATGATTTTGCTTGTATTGCCTTGGGTTTCTGCGCTTTACGCGAGTTCGCCCTCCGGTCGACGAATCGATTCGAAATTGTTTTTGAAAAAATTCGAGAGCAGAGAATTGAGACTCGAATATATATACAGAATTGTCTGAAAAATACCTTTAATTCGTCATTTTCGGCACGGCTCTTATCCGCGGTGCTTTTATCGCTCATTATCGCGGATGATTGATTTGGCGCAGGTACGAGCTCTTTCATTGCCGCGGAAACTCTGCGGTCATGACGTACGAATATTCGACAGACGCGCCACTTGCTGAAATCCCAGTGACCCCCAGATCCGATGCGAAGTTGGGCTTCGTTTAGGCCTCGTTCGCAACGACCTCTCGTCGTTATAGTCGCATACGCGATTGGTCGATTTTGCGAGTTGGATGCGCGTCCATTGGAAACCCGACGTTTTTGCAGTGGTCGTCGCGCATGCGCATTATACACGGCTCATCTCGCAATCGCAACATTCCATTGCAATAGCCCTCCGTGATTTTCCGCGACTATTTCCGATCCCCGTGCTCCAACCAAAAAAAAAAAAAAAAGAGATAGTTCAAATTATTTTTACACGATGAATTTAGATCTTCGTAGTAATTCCGGAAATAATGACAGTGACAGCGGACAATACAGTAACACTAATATACCAGGTAATCGAAAGACGATTTTCAACATTTCGTTGAATGTGCTTCTTGCTACCGCTGCTGCAAACTTTTCGATCGCGGTTTTTTTGATTTTCTGAATGTGACGCGCGCAAAAAGCTCTTGAATTGTTCACAAAATGTCGATTGTCGTGTTATTCACTTATTCATGTAAAAGTCTTGTCAATCGATAATTTATTGATTTAATTCAGACTCGTGACACAACACGCTTCCTAACCTCTTTTATTGCGCGAGTGAGAAAACTTGGTATCTTTTTTCTTTTTTAATACAGAGAGGTGTACAATTGCGCGCAATTGTGTACTAAAATAAATCTACGTTATTTTTAAAACGTCTACATGTATGTTAACAAAATCTATACATTTTATTTCCACGTAAAGTTTAAAAGATGTTTGAAAGAATTATATAAAAAAACAGATACATAATAACCACAATCGTTAAGTTGCAAATATATTACGAATATATTTGTTATCTCTAATGTATTCTATTGTTTGAACTACTTTAATCTTTTTCAGTTACTTCACAACTAGGTTTAGCTCCACTTAGTCCATATTTAAATTTTGACCCGTCGTATCTACCCATTAGCCAGCCCGAATTTATATTTCCCGACGGAGCTGTAAAACAAAGAGGCCGCTTTGAGTTAGCTTTTAGTCAAATTGGAGCAGCATGTATAGCAGGAGCTGGAATCGGTGGAGCTTCGGGTTTATACAGAGGCATCAAAGCCACATCCATTGCTGGTGAAACAGGCAAACTCAGGAGAACACAGTAAGTATATTTTTTTTTTTTTTTGCCATTAAAATTCTAAAGAAGAATATCAACTTCTTAGTGTATTCATATTTTTATTTTGTTCCTAGATTGATTAATTATGTTACGAAGGGTGGCGCAAGTATGGCAAATTCGCTCGGTGTGATAACAATAATGTACACTTGTGCCGGAATAGGATTGACCTGGTTGAGAGGCACTGATGACAGTTTCAACACAGTAGCCGCAGCTGCCACTAGTGCGGCGGTATTCAGATCTCCTGGTACAAAAAAAAGAAAATAATTTGTACACATGTACATATCGAGTTTGTTAGATCTGTTTTGTAATAAATCAAAAACAATGTCACATTTCAGCTGGAATCAGAAAAGCCGGTATCGCGGGCGCTATTGCCGCGGGAGTTGCAGTAATGTATACTTTATGGAACAACGGAGGATTGTCGTTGCCGCATATGAATGGCTATAAACATCCGGCATAAGAGTGTGTGTATATACATATACGTTTTAGTAAAGACTTTTAGTTAAATATAACATAATTTTCTTGTTACATGTTTTTTTTTCACGTTAAAATTGTTATAAAAATCCCATTATAAAATTGCGACAAAGCTACCAATATTGTGATGTTAAAACAAAAGACAAAGAGTAATAACAAAGATTATTTACAGAAATGTATTTATATACAAGCAATTTTAGTATTGGAAGAGATAAACAATTTATATAACTAAATATATGACGAAAAATAAAATATAAAATATAAAATATATTTTATATTTTATATTTGTATTAATATATGAAGAAAACTATACGCATATCTCAAATATATTATTTAGCAAACAAAATAAATAATAAAGTTTATTTATTAGAATCTGATAACGACATTCTAAGCTACAAAGTGTGTATGTAATTTATGTAAAATATTTAATTTTTTAAGATTTTTTAATAGAGAGAGAGTGAGAGAGAGAGAAAAGCGATGTTACATTTTTTGTAAAGAAACTTTATTTACTTGAAACGAATATCTTCTCTAAGTATAAAGTTTTAGAATTTTTAAACTTACACGCTCTCTTACTCTTTCTCTCTTTTGCCTTAACTTTATTACGCGAAATCTATACTTTTAGTTAATATATATTGTATAAATATTCGTCTTTTTATACATTATACAACCAAAAAACGCACATGTGATGAAGAATTACTAGTAGTTTAGAAAAAAATATAAGTTAAATCTACTTTCCTGAATGCATAAACTTAGTAATTATATAATTGCAATATTAACTTCTAACTAATTACTTAAAATTTATCGATATTCTAATATATTTTCTTGTTTTTGTTTGCAGATTGATATAATTTGACTTCTCTTCTGTAAAAAACCAAAAAATTTCCAAAACAATTAACGTTCTCTCTCTCTCTTTGTGTATTATCTTGTATATACAAAATCTCATTACACACAAAGAAAAACACATGAATTATCGAAGAGACGTTAGAACACACAAATTATTTATTGAAATTAGCAGTGTAAATACTTTCGAATAAATAAATCGAAAACGTTGCACATGTGTATGTATTTGCAGTTTATTATTGCAAAACACGTAAACGCGCTTCTCAATTACTTATTCAGTCGGTATTTACTTATCTCTATTTTTGTTTGTTAATTGAACAACAACCCTTTAATTGCAAGTAAAGATTTACTCAGAAATGTACATATGTGCGTGTGTGCGTTACACGCTTTTATATGAGAATAAAAACAATAATTTAATTTTCCGTGTAGACAACGAGTGCCAGAAGTCGCGATAATCTTATCTAGTTTTATCTCGCTATCGGGTTTCGTGTACGTTATAGGAATAAAGATTTGTCATTGATCAGAGTGTATCTGGCCGCGTACATGTATGCGCGTGTGCCGAGAGTTTTTAACATAATCGCTAGTGGTTGATGTGTATAAAAAAAAGCGCGCAAGAGATACGCTTTTTGACGTTATCCGATTAACATGAGCGCAAGCCGCGCGATACCCACGTCGAACGCTCGTTTTCTCGAAAAGTAAGTGCGTGTTGCATCATGTATCGTAATTGATAACCGAAATACCTAGCATGACACATTTACAAGCTTAGTGTGGATGGACTTCTATTCGTTGCGTGAGTCCGACTTTTTCATTGCGCACACGTGTATCTAAGCAGTTAGAGAAAATTACCGTAATGTTGTGGCCTGATATTCGCCTGAGAACGCACGATGTTTCTTATCTGTCGCACTATAAATGTTGATAAACGCACTTATCAATATAAAGTCGACAGTCGTTCAGATTTTCCAAAGAAGTGCGACAGATGCAAATCACACGTGGTTTATTATTGGACGTACCTAGTTTCATCTTACGTGTGACATATTCAGAGTACGTGTAAGGTGAAAAAAAAATTTATATAAAATGAATATATAATATTATAATTAATATCTCGAAATATATTTAAAATTTATATTATTTGTATGTATAAAATTTATAATTAAATCACACCGAGAGATAAGCTGAATGAAAAAAATGTCTCAAGCGAAAGGTGAATGAGGAAAACTTAAATGAAAATTTTCACGATAACTATTTTGTATAATTAGAGAATTAATTATTAAAAAGTGCGCTTTGATATTGTTGCGTACGGCAGATGAGATGACTCGTAGACTCAAGCGAGAATATCGAGTCAATATTTGACGATCAAATATCTGCGAGATCTCCGTGCCGTCCGTTGTCGAACGTCCGTAGAACACCACGACGATAGACGAGGGAACGTACACGAAAATGTGTATGGCTTATTTAAATAAGACATGCGTGTATGTGAGGATCGACGTGGTGTGTTGTTGCACGAAGCGCAAAAAGCCCAGCGGAAGCGCGAAAGTAGTTTCTTCGCATCTTCCGGCGCTGTCGGACGTGAATCCGCGAAAAGACGTGCAGCAACACGCGCACACACTTGAGTTTCAGATTATTAAAGTTAAGTGATATAGATAGATCACGATCTTGTATATCCAAACGAACGTTTTCTCTGAACAATTCAGACTCGCTATCGTCGCGTTGCGACGCATTCTGTAAAAACAAAAGCGGGCGAAAGAAAGTCGGAAGTGGAAGAAAAATTCGAGCTGAAATTGAAAAAAAAAAAAAGAAGAGTAAAAAAATGACAAAGTTTGGAAATTTCTAACGCACTTTCTAATCTTTGTTTTTTTTATTTGAGAAATGTCAATTTTGAATCGCTTTTGTTGATTGTTTTTCCGCAAAGGAAAGACAAAACCGAAAAAAAAAAAAAAATTGGATGAAACGCGGATGGAAATTATTATTCTTCGTTTTCTGTTTCTTTTCTTTCGTCAGCTTGAAAGTCCGCGCGGTGTGGAAAAATTTATTTGTCTTGTATATTTACGACGAAATCACACACTTCGCGCCTAAAAGGAGAGGATTTTTTTTATTGAACGTCGGTCTCGAACACGATTGGATGTGCATCGCGTCGTCCACATACAAAAGAAAAACATGTGGTGCTAATTAATTCTTATTAGCACATCGTCCGAGTTTCCTCCTCCTCCAACAACCCCCCACAGCTAATATTTGGCTAGATAAAGAAGAACGACGAGTTTTATTATCCCCGGCTCTAATCAACGTAAGTGCAGTCGACCTTTTAGTCAGTCCGTCATCTCGCGCAGGTGCGCGTGCAAGGTGCACGCGGGGGGTTATAAATTGTAAGTTCTCTCTTTCTCTCTCTCTATATCTATATATATATATATGTATCTCACCTACACGTCATACTTCAACACTTATTTGCATTTGCAACGCTCAAATCTGATTAATGATCTGTACAAACACACTTTCCGCGCGTTTTCGTCACCCGCTTATCATAACAACTCACGCCGAGAACCAGGCCAACACATGAGCTCGCCAAGTAAACATTTTTTTTTGTACTTCTTTGACCATTAGAATTTTGCAGATCGTTTTGTTCAGATCATGTTTCTTACGTTCATAAACAAGCTTGGGAGATTGTTCTAACGTCGAGTTTTAAGACTCTCACCGTTTATTTTTTTTTTTTTTTTGCGTTTCTATGTGTTTCTAGAGAATTTGCAATACTCGTTGTGGATAGTAAAAATTAGTGGATGTAGCGGATGGATTACTCGATGAATCGATGAAATTGATATTGATAAAAGATCCACATTATCTCCGATCTGACGTAATGTAGTCATCGTACACACACCCATTGCGAAACAAAATTAGTCACATGCTTTGCGCGAAGTAAATTTGATATTTTTTCATATATGTATATATGAATCATCATATCAGTCAAATGAAAGAGCCGACGATATCGTAGAAAAAAAAAAAAAAAACAAGGAACTTATTACAAATACGCAACGCACTGATTCAACACATATCGGACGTAAATTAATTGCTCAGAGAGTGCAATCAGTTCAAGACGAACATTGTCTTGTATCGTGTTTGCGTTATCTTTAACGCTATCGTACTGCGGGAATTTTTGTGAGAAACATATTATCGAGTTCGCGGCGAGGAACGGAAATCTCTCGAGCGTGCGCAGAGAGATTCGGTCGAAATTCGGAAAATCGGCGGCCAATTCGTCTGAAAATAGATCCGTTCGCGATAGCGCGCGTCGAACATAAAGAAATAATAGCTTTACAAAAATATTTATGTATTCGGAATTATTCCGCATATACGTGTTTTACAATCCGCCCGTAAATCCTCGCGCTTTTCGTATTCTTGCGCGCATTTTATTACATGTATACTCGTACGTTCGATAGAGACGCAAATAATTTAATTAGACAGATTTGTAAACAAAAAAAAACTATTTGTATACGTGAAATTAATATAAATGTTACAAAACAAACATTTGCACCGGGATTGAGACGAGAGTAAGGGAAAAATTTTTCGATCACTTTTTTAACGTATCCACAACGCGAATAAAAACCGTCTGGCGAAACTCATAAAATCTGTTGTTTTAATTTTTTCAGGTAAACTCACCTTGTGTCGCACACGGTCATTAAAGCATAAACGGCAGATCATTTCCTTCGCGAGAGATGAAAGCTGTTTCGCATAGGTTCTGCCTGCTGTCGATGCCGCCGTCTCGCGACGAGACGCAAACAGACGCGCGTTGTAAACTCTTGTAATTTTTTTAAACTGAAAAAAAAAAAAAAAAAAGAACAAGAACGCAGATTTTGCACGATAATGAGACCGAGGAAAGCGGAAGTTCTGTTAGCGACGTTGTATATAGGATCCACGTTGCTGTCCATCACGTCCATCATTTCGCTGGTGACTGCATGGCAGCATTGGACATGGACGTTGGACACTTGCATCAGCGTGGATTGCGGCTGCATACTGTACGGGATCAACGCGTTCCGCACATTCGTGGGTGGCGACGTGAGGCTTTGCCAATTCGGCTCGTACGCCCTCATACCCGGCATTCTGATCGCTTTGTGTCTAGGCGGTTATCACGGGTACAGATGTTGCATAAATAAGAATTTGGACAATCCCAGACGAATGACCCGTGAGGAGTACAGCAACGACAGGTGCTTAAAAAAAAAAAAAAAAAAAAAACCATCTTTTCGATTTTTTCCTCTGACAATCCGGTGATTGTCATCTCACGATAAATCTTAAATATCAAATTTCAATGCGCAAAATGAGATTCCGTTGTATCCAATGTGTCCCAAAGCGAGACATTTAAATAGATGTAATAAGCTTTTCCACATTCCCTCTTCCTTGTTCATCGGTTAATCCTCTTTCAGAAATAATCTCAATGGGCAAATCGTCATGGTTCGGATGAAAAGAAGGGCCGTTTTCAAACACTGGATGCCCATCGCTTTCCTCACAGCGCTGATCTCTTGCCTGTCCCTCGCTCATATGGTCGTAATAACCGATGGCTACTACAGAACTTGCGACCAGTACAGACGGAATCTCGTTGAGGTCTTGGGCTCGAGAGGTCGCGAAATTCAAGTAAAAAAAAGCATCTTTTTTTTTTCTTAAATAACATGCGAATTTTATATTATTTATACAACATATGAGATGTTTCAATATTTCTTGAAAACCTAGAAACAACCTAGTAATAATTCCATTAATTTTATATCGAACAGGTGATTCACAATAGACTTGCGTGCGGCGCGATTTTCGATTTTATGGACTATCTCCACCCGGACACCAACAACTGGGTTCGCGGCAGCGAGATCAATACGGGGATCGCGCTTCAGCTCGCGATCACCACGAGTTGGTTCAACTTCTTCGCCTGGCTTTGCGCGTGCACGATAAACTTTATCATGGCGAGAAAGAGGCTGCACAATTTAGGAGAGAAATTCTGCTGTTGCTGCTGCTGAGTGACTGATTCTCTCCCGCGTGTGTTTGTTTTTTCTGTAAGAGGTTTTTTATAAAATAAAATTGTGACGATACTTCTTAGAAACAAAAACAAAAAAAGAAACGTGACGCGGTGCTGACGCGTGTGATTTAATACTTATTAATAATATATATTTTATTTATGTAATTTTTATATATATATATATATGTATGTATATATATACAGAGATAGTGTCTTCTTTCAGTAACTATATATCCTCCTCGTATTCCTACTGTCGAAAAAAAGCAAACTAACTCACCCGCTACCATGGAAAATAATCGCATTCCTCTCTCGCGTTCTATCTAATCGCATTCTTTTTACACAGTTCTGTTTGTTTGTTTTTTTTTTTTTGAATAGTGTTCGCAAGTACCATATTACACATACACATTGCGTGTGAAACACATTTCCATGATCGTTCTAAAGAACAGATGATCGTAAATGTAATAACTTGTGATGTGTGTAAACAAACGCACGATTTTTTTTTACATTTATTAATTGTCGAAATCACGACAGTTGCACTTCACGTGTGTGTGTGTGTGTGTGTGTGTGTTAACAATCGTTCGTAGATAACAGAAGTAATGAAAACAATTGATGAAGAGAAAAATACTGTAACACCTATTACTGCAGGCAGTGATGACACTTAAGTATGAGCTATAGCGAAGCATCAGTAAAACTGTTCGTGGTATTGTTATTATTATTTGTTTTTTTTTTTTTTTTTTTTTTTTAATTCTTCTATGTATACATAAAAGAGAAAACAAGAAACATTTTAAACCAACAATAATAAATAAGAAAATACATATAAAGATTCGAAAAAGGAATGTTTCAACGCATCCTTAAGACGTTAAATTAAAAAAAAATGCTCGACATTTCTCAGGATTTCGCTCTATTTTATACAAGATGCACCGGGGGGTGGTAGAGAGAGTATTTTTACACTTAGAGTAAACGACGATTCTCTTTGTTTTTTTATGTTCAAATAAATTATGTCCAAGTCGTATTTATCATTTCGTCGGATCTTGACGGACAGATGAAATTTCACGTCACATTTTCGTTCGCAAATTGCCTCAACTTTTTGCGGGTAAACGGCGTCGAAAAAAAGATCACTTTTCACAAATTACATACTTCTCACCGTTAAAATATAGGAACTAAAACTGAAAACAACTTTCAGATACACTAAAATCCCTTACATGTACAAATACAATTGACTCTGTTTATCATGTACTAATACTAGTTTTTTTTTGTTTTTTTTTGTTTTTTGTTTTTAGCTTTTATACTACACGATATATAATAAAGACTTGCAAGCTTGAACGCTATAAAGGAAGGCACCTAAAACATACGAGCTAGTATCTACACATTATGTTACATTTTTATATTATATGTATATATATATAATATGCGTGTGCATAAAAACACGTAGATTACAAACAGTTTTATAATATATTGTCACATCTGTTTTTTTTGTTTTTTGTTTTTTTTTTGTTTTTTTTACATTGAACTAGATCCTGCCCTGTAGACTGTCGATACAAAAGACGCAGCATAATAGCAGAGTACACGGTGATTAATAACAAAATACCTAAAATTTTTTAAATTATTCGCTCAAGTGATTGAATAATTTCTTTGTTGCTTTTTTTTTTAAATACATTAGACTGATAATACAAATGAATACTATCAAGTAAAAAGTTATTTCTACACTAATGATGTTTTACATGCGTAGTATATCGTTTTTCGTACTGTTCGTACGTGTTTTTTTTTTTGTTTAACAGTCTCGATCGCAATAGACAAGCATCACATCGTTAATTTCGATCTAATTTAAATATACAAATCATAAATCGTTGAAGAATATATAAACAATCGTTTACAAACGAGACACTTGGTCATCTTACACACATAATTTAGTCGAGACTGTTAAACAACAAGTCAGTCTTACATTATAAGGCTAATTATTTAGACAAACACTGTTTTTCCTTGCTCTCGCTTCTTCGCAAAAATTATTGTTATATAAATCACGTTTTGCTATTACCTGCGCCCTTGTGATCTCTCGATTACCGTCAAAGCTACACTTTGATCTTTGCAAAGAATACCTTTTCACCAAGAGACAGCACAAATACAAAAGTGCCTCTCTTCAATACTAAAACTTACAATAATAAATTGTGTTTGTTTACAAGTACAGTTTTTTTTATATATATATACATGTATGATGTTTATATACATATATATATATATATATATATGTATATATATATGTATATATAAACATCATACATGATGTTTATATACGTGTATATATATATATGTATATATATATATATATATATACATATATAGATAGAGAACTTTTTCTTAGAAAAATTGCTTTGTATAAGAACTGGTATAGATTGTACTAATAGAAATCTACAAATTTTTTTGTAAAGTACAAACGTAGTGAAAAGATTTAGCTGCAAAAATAGATGCACGAGCTTTCTCTACTTATTTCTTTAATCATTTTTGGTATCAAGCTGCCAAGTTTCACAACCTGGTTTTTTTCTCACGTGTGTTAAAACATTGTTGTTGAAAAAAACGTTTCCATTTTAACTTTTCCTTTTTTTTGTTTTTTTTGCCTCTCCTCTGTCTTTTCTCTCTCCGCAAACATCAGATTTTTTTTTTTAACGTAGTGTCTTTTTTGTTTGTTTTTTTCTTTTTCATCAATTTCTTATCGCTACTTGTCTGGTGTCTGGTGTAAATCTTCTAAAAATGCAAAAAAGTAATTAAAAAATGGTAGTACATGAATTAATACTTTCCAACTGTGGTGTAAATCACGCTTTATACACGACCCACGCGTCTCATCAGAATAAGACATATATACACATATAAATATATTTGCTGTATGCCTTCTGATATAAACGTACGCAGCTAATTGCTGCTATCACATCACATTATCAACGTTTGTAAAAAAATATACAAGTATACGAAAACACAACAAGTATTCCTCTGGTGCTCATTTCTGTATGTTTTATAAATGCACGGATTCATATAGTTTTATAATATGTTCAAATAAAGAAATACTGATGTATAATACAAATCAGTTTTCATATGATGTTTGTTTAAATTTAAAAGCAAGTAGTTTATATATTACCTGAAAAGCACAGCAAACTTCTGATTATCTAATGTAATACGATAATAATTGCAATATAATTACAATAATTTATGGAAGAATGGAATAGTATTCGTTACATGTATACACATGAGTATGTATGTGTATATACATATAACTTAAGGTTATATATATATATATACATATATATATATATATATAATCTTTGAAAAACTTATTTTAAATAAATTATGCATCTCTTTATATTACATTTTTTTACAAACGCGTATTTCATAAAGAAAACAAGTAATGCAAAACGGACTATCACTCGGAATTTCACTCTGTTGACAAACTGATAATCAAAATCGAAAGGCAAATCGTAACATGTTACGGCACAACCTGTATCATTAGATTTCCGGTTGAGAGATTTTACTTGTTTTTTGAACGAGATTAATATTTTGTATGATATTAACACATGTGCGTATTTTCATACAATAAAATTCTAATCGTTCAGAAAAACTGCGGATGTTTCGCCGGGTAATTAGTGTGTGTCCACAATCACGAGATTTTCTCTTATTGTTAGTCGTCGTTCGTGGCTCACTAGTCGCTGAAACGAATCTTCTTCGTCAGCTATCGTCAAGCATCATAAAAGAAGTAATAAAGAGAGTGGAAAAATAGCCCAAGCCAATGTCCAGCAGCAAGGCTGCTGTGTTTCCTTCGACATTAGCGGGCTCATACAGTGTATAAAGAGGTATTTGCAGAGGAGTATGTTAACTTGATACTGGGGGCTTGTTTTTTGTCCCCACTATTCTAGCTGTGTGTTATCTCCATCAGCTCATTGAACTTCATTTCATTGAGAGACATATCTAATACATCTCTCTGTGTACGATTTGCGAGTGAGTCGGCTATTCCTGCATGTTCATAACTTTGTGTTACCTAATGCTTAACAAAAACCACCTTGTTTCAAGTGAAGAGATTGCTTCGCCTCTTCAACGATCCAAATCGCTTCTCCGACACTTCGCGTATTACCTCAAACGGTGCCGCCTTCGTCCGTCCCGCTTGTCTCTCCTCGTTCTCGTCGCTCGGAAAGTCCTCGAAGCTCATGTTGCTGAAACCAGCGGTCGCGGCGCTGCTCTTCTTTCCTTTCGGTGTCTTCTTGTGAATCACCGATTTGGTCTTGTGAGACGTCTTCACGTTGACGATGTCGCCGTGATTCTCGTTGATCAGGTGATACTTGGACTTGTCCGATTTGGACTTATCCTTCTTGTTGTGTTTCGGCGTGTCGTCGTCCGCGACCAGAGGCTCGGGCGACATGGGTGATATTATGTCAGACGTGATATCCACCTTGGAGACGCTGTTGACCGCGTGCACGGTGATCCTGGCGGTGTGCGCCGTTGGTTGAATCGTGTAGGTGGGCTGCGGTTGCGATTGCAACGTCGATGGTGTGGGTGTCAGGTGTACGACGGTATTTTTTGGAGACTGCACGACGCTGCTACTAACGGGCAACGTTGTCGCCAAAGCGATATTATTTATGTAATTTGGCGACTGCGACAGGGACAGAGACGTCGGACGCTGTTGTTGCTCACTGATCTTCAACGACGCGAATTCTTCGAACGGAATGGATCCGAAGAGATCCTTCGAAGGTTCGTGACTGACTGCCGGATCGGAGTTTACCGTCACCATGCCGTACTTCGAGGTAGACGCGACTATATTCGAATGCCTAGCGTAATAATTGTCCGGCATCACGTTATGGGATTGCAGATTAACGTAGTCGATGTACGAGGTAGAAGCTGCTGGACTCAGAATCGTCGATATCGGCTGAGTCGGCGCGTCCATGCTCGCGTAACCGGACTGAATGCTGTTGAAGGGATTGGTAAATCCGCTGGGACTGAACGGAGAAGAGCCGAAAAGATCCTTCTCAGTGTTCTCGTCTTCCTCCTCTTCCTCTTCCTCCTCCTCTACGATACTCACGTGCGGACTGCTTTTGATTGGTGAGACCTGCATATTCGATTGATGACAAAACGACGATGGTTCTTCGTAAATAATCTTGTTGTTGTTCACAATACCTTTGGAATACTTGTTAGACACGGCAGGTTTAATCGGTGGCTGCGGTGTCGCTTTACTTTCCGCAACGTCTACGAACACTTCCGCTGGTATGGGCGAGCTGGAGATCGGCGTCACCAGATTCGAAGCGTGAGGCGAATTTCTCGTGCTGCTCGGATCGATGTTCTTGGTCTCACTCTCACGACTGTCGCTGCTCTTTCTCGAACTACTGGATCTCGGAAAGGGTGCCATAGCGAACACGTCGTCTTCCACCTTCCAGATACCATTCAGTGATTTGGACTTGTCGTTGTCATCAGACGAGCTGTCACCGTTGTTGAATAGCAACGGCTTCGAGCTGTACTGAAGTCGGACGAAGGGATCTCCGTGTGACTGTTCTGGCTTGGATTCGGGATCAAGTTCGTCGTCCAGTAGTAGCGGTTTCTCGCCGTACTGATGGCCGACAATCGGATCTGCATCGATAGTCGGCAACTGCTGCTCCTGCTGGCGATAGTGGTGTCTCCTTGGCCTCTTCGTCCTGTAATCGTCCTCGTGCGTCGCCACGGATTCGCATTCCGCATGATACGCCGAACTACCGCACGTGCGCACATCCGAAATAGTCTCGCTGTGCTTCCTGTGGTCGTCGCCGTCATCGTCATCGTTTTCCTCGCCGTCGTTGCCCTCTTCCTCGTCGTTCATCGCGCGCAGATCGCTTGCCGAGCCGATCGAGTCGTCCGACTCGTACTCCACGTTTGTGGTGTTAGTGCTATCTGCATTCTCATGTTGCGCTGCCGCAACTCGCCTCTTGCGACTCAACACGTTCTTCACACGCCTTCTTTTCACTTTCTTCGCACGTTCTTTAGCCTCTTTTGCGCCTTTGTCACTGTCACTGGACACTTCGTCGGCGTTGAACGCCAGCTTTTCGTACTTGGAACGATCTTCGGCCGGTGCGCGAACGAACGGCGGCGAAACCGGACTGGATTCCGTGATCAGGGACGCTTCATCGTCAATCCCACAACCATTACTACCGTGTTCAACTCCGGAATTCCACTGTGCCAAAGGCGCTCTCGCTTTACCGTTCGTTGATTTTCCTGCAAAGCAGAGCATTACATTATGTTAATAATGATAATATTAGTCTACACAAGTGTTTCTTATATTTATCAAAGTAGTTCTCTCTATAGAACTTCAAAACTAAATCAACACGAGAACTTCAGTTATTATTGAAGCATATTATACTTACCTATAATTCTTTTATCTTTAAAAATATGCAATATAAAAGTTTTTGACAGAATACATATTTGTTGTTATCGAACGAAAAAAACTTAAACAATAGCTTAATATATATTTTCTGTAGTCGAAACTTAAACAATAGCTTTTTCACATATAACCCTTTACACTCTACTGGCGCCGTTACGGCGTTACACGCGTAATTTGCAATCCAGTCAAAGTGCAAAAAGTTAAACATTGGTAATATGTTTAAGTAAATATCTACTTATTTTTTATATTAGAAAGAAACAGAATATATTTTAGTGTATAAAAAATTATTTTTAAATTTAAAATTATTGATCCTCTTGTTTTCTTTAACTTTCTCTCAATAGACGAACGTGTTACGCAAAATACTTATAAATTTCAAATTTTACTGCTATTGATTCAAACTTTAATATATATAATAGCTCCATTTATAGACATAAGCAATTGTGTCTCAATGTGCACGGAGGAGCTTTGGTATATTACAGAAGAGAAAGAAAAGACAGGAAATATCTGATTAGGTCTGCTAACAGACAGTGCACTTTGCCAAGTGTAATGTGCATTTAAACGTACAATCTCACTGATGTAAAATGAGCTTTTAGAAAAATGTAATGTTAGAATTTTTTCGACACATGAAGAACAAGAGAATGTACAGATATACATTTTAAGCTAATGTTAGTACCACCACCAATTGGTCTGGAACAGTCCTAATCAGATTCAGAGGATTGAGGATAAGTAATCAAAAAACGCAGTAATGCTCTGAGCTCGAGTCATCGAGAGAAAACTCACACAAATGTAATTCTTTTGTTTTAAATTAAACGAAAAATCCGTACCGAAGTGACAAAGTATTGCTGCGTTTTATGTATCAGTAGCATTCAGAAAAAAAACAAATACTCCGTTATGCTAATTTACATTTTTATTGCTGCAACATTATTTACCTTAGTACAGCAAGAAAGATACTGTCCGAGATATTTGTCAGCCCCCTATAGTGCTCTCAAATTCGCAAAATAAAATCTTTTTTTTTTTTTTTTTTACATAAGAGATCTTTCACCGCAGAGATCACACGAGGAGATACGTGCGTATGCCTGTATCCGGCGACGATAAAAAATTAAAGATTAAAGATAACAAGTTTTTTTTACGATACATCATATAACTGACTCACCATATTATAAGAGAGATATATCTCAGAGATAGTGCGTATTATTCGAGACACTAGGGGAGGCAAACAAAGTGGGACAAGATAAAAAAAATGATCTTCACAAACAAACGATAAAAATTTATTCGAAATAAGAAGAAAAGTTTGTGCCTCCCAAACTCATTAGGTTGTTCCAGACATTGGACAGATGTGTGTAATAGTGTAATATATAATTTCCAAAAAGTTTTTCTCTCATGGAGAAAAAACAAGCACGTTTATCAATCGTCATTGTTTCCACCTTGCCCTCAAGGACTTTTACGATACTTACACACGCTCAGGATAGAATCAACATTAACAGCGGTTCTGGTAATACTACTAGTGCAAAAAAAAAAAAATAAATAAATAAAAAACAATATCTTGAACTGCTTACTTTGCACGATATTTCACAACGCAATTTAAAGACATATTGTTATTGATATTTTCTACTCCTTGCTGTACACTATTGTATAGAAAAGAAAAAGTTACTCCGTTGAGAATTATTCTATTAAACGGAGTAACAAGTATATACATACAAATGATTCATTACTATACATGTACGTTTCGTTACATTGTAGAGACAGGAGAGAGTTGTCACGTTTATGAAAAAGTACAAATACCAATTGTTTCTGCGCTTTTTGAAATACGACAATTTGGTGATATTATTTTTTTTTAATATAATTTCTTCTGTAAAAGGAGAGAAAGAGACAGAGGAAAACGGAAAAAACAATTACAGATATGTGCATATAAATACCAAGTTACATTGTTTTATCTAAAATTTTATACGAGCCAAATACATATGTATAAGTGCGCACAGAAAAATAATAGTTACACCAAAGAAAATCCCAAATTAGTAAGTGTAAAAGCAATATGTAACAATGAAATCCTTTTACAGGAGACAATGAGGGAAACGTAAGAAAAAAGAAACAGGTGAAGTCGAAAGAAATGAACGAGAAGGAAACAAGCAAGAAAAACAAAAAATTGCTTGCAAAAATACCATTTTGCCAAGTCACTGTAGTATTACCATTGCGCGAGTGGAAGATACAATCTTAGCAGTTTTAATGAACCTTATGTGTGTATGTTTCTGTATGTATATATGTATATGTTCACGCATCGCGCAGAGAGTCATCGTTTTGTGAGAAGGAAAGGTTTATACTGATAAAAATAAACCGTCGCGTATCCCCCATGTAAGTTTACCCCCCTTTAAACACACCGCAACATTCAATTTCATTCCTTATATTGCCTTGTGTTAATCACATTTGTGTTATTTTTGTGAAAATTCTTGCATCGAAACCTATTCTTCCCACATTCTTTTTTTTGTAACGTTGTATAATACAATTGTAACATACAATACGTTTGCACGTATATACGAGTAGGACAAAATAGTGTGTATATACCTAAACTTTTGTATATCACATAATATATACCATAACGTTTTTATATATATATATATATAATTGTATTGTATACATATATATATTTTCATTTTTTTATATTTATATATATATTTATATATATATACGTGTAATTTGCTCCTTTTATCGATATATCAACTAACTCGTAAGGAAACGCTAAAAATAAAAGCTAATCCTGCTTTTGTGCACTACGTACCATAGGAACGTCTAAAGTTAAAGACAAAATTTCCTATCATATATAGTTCATGATATTATCAGATGTTTCAACAATATATCCAGTACAATTACACTTTGTTACAACATAATCAGTATGCACCATTTATTTCGAACCTAAATGTGTATTCGATGTATTATTCTTACGCTCCGTAATTCTTTTACTATTTTTGAGATAAGTAGAAGTCAATATATATGCAAGTCACTGGTTAATGCTTTGTCATCTCTTTCGCACAATTGAGCACAACTGAGCAGATTTGCATCACAATTGCTTTTTTCTTCGCAGAGACGTACTAACAAATAAGGTTTATTCTGCTCGTCTTCATCGAGTCACAGTAACAGAGTATTCTGAAGCAGGTCTTAACAAAAGTATATTTACGTAAAAAATATTTTATCATATTTGTGAACATTTCGTTAAACATATTGTTTAAGCACGAAGAAATTTAGATGAATCACGTATCATATGTATACATATGTACATATCATTAATTAACAACAAAGATATGATTGAATTATCACTTTTGTAAATGATATTATATTAGACGATATATAAAAAGAAAGAGATCTACTTCGATAAGTAGTTGTGCAACTATATCTACTCTATATATTATATATTTAATATAATATAAATTTGTTCAAAAATAACGAGCGCGCACTACATTTCTGAAACTCATTGGTCAAAGACGTTTCATTTTTTGTTCGTGTACATCGACATTTGTTCGGTGAACAAACAATTATCACATATCTTTGGCAAAAAAATTAAATGACAGTAAATACCCAGGATTTGAAATTATTTACACATATATGTAATTTTTACATTATTTACACCGTATATGCGCATTGAAAACAGGAGAATCATGTTTGTTGTAAATCAAATATTCAATACAGCAGAATGCAACACATCCAGTATGACCAATATTTATACATATCACCGGTAATTATTTTATATATCACAAAGCAAGTTTCATAAATATCACTAATTATATCAAGACAGCACAACGTTACCATTTTAGTTTTATGAACTTTTGTTTTTTTTTTCACATTTTACGTTGTTTTTTTCGTTAACTTGCCTATCAATAAAACTTGAAATTTATGAATTATGGAAGTGCAAAAAATATAATAATATGCTGATATGTAATTATTGTTTCAGCATATTTTTGTCTATATCTATATTGTCCACAAACATGTACAAATATATTGCTATTTATAAATATATTTATAAATAACTATATTCGTTAAAGAATTTGTGATACTAATCAGAAGTAGTCAATATAACAGAGAAAATAAGCAAATCCAATAAAATTAGAAACAATCGTATTATAATCTTCAATTCAAAACATAAAATTTTCAAAATTTAAAATAAAAATATTTAATTCTGACCTGTATGTTCAAGCATACAGATCAGATACACAAAGATGTAATTCATCTTTGCTTGATAACTTGTACATCTCGCGATTCGAGATGTAGTCTTTCTTTTTATATTAACTCCCTTTTTATACTAAATTATTTTTTGTCAAATATAAAAAAAGCAAGTGTCATGTAGAACAATAGAATAAAAACAACTACCTAGTTAAAGTTTTGTTACCCTAAGCAAAACAAAATGTGATGTTCCGTATATAGTTATTAAAAAAAAAGTCAAAAGTATCTTTTACATATGAAAATATTTACGTTCTTACGTAAAGCTCGAGTAAGATATAATTTCAGAAATAAAAAAAGTCTCTTAGTATACCAAAGTCACTTCTATCGTTTTAATCTTTATAAGATTATCAAGAGGCACTCCGTATTTTCTCATTACGAGTTTTAACACACGTGGGACTAAGTTAACTAGCAATAAACTGCTCGCAAATCAAACAATTGAGTTGCAATAATATCTATACATCAGTCTATACAACTTTACATATATATATATTCACCGATATATATAAAGAAGTTCAACAATATACGCATCTTAATATTTCTATAAAAAATCTACATGTAACTATACACACGTATTAAAGAAAATAAATATCTTTCTTTTTTTTTTTTTTTTTTTTTTTTTGTTTAATTAAGCGAACTGCTTTGCACTCTTAACAACTTATCGTTCGGTGAATTAAGTACCGAATTTACGGGTGGGCGAAGTTCTTTGGTATACCTGAGACTCGTTAATGGCAAAAGACAACGGTTTGTTAAAAATCTCGTGTGTAGCGACAATTTGGCAAAAGTGAGAAAATTAAGTTTTAAAGACAGCAAGCGAATAGCTTGTAAACAAGTACAGATTAATATAGATCAATATAAGAGCAAGTGGAATAGAGATGATGAAGGACAGTGTGATGTGTAAGAAGGAGTTTATGCATTACCTCCAGCAATAGCAGCAGTCTTTGATCCAATTTTATTCTTTTTCCCTGCTGAGAAAGAAATAAGAAACGATCAATCAAGATATTTATAAATGTTATAACGTTTCGACTACATAAAAACGATTATTTTAGTCACCACACACATTACGAAACCAACATGAAATCTCAATATGAAGACTTACTTGGCAGGCTAAATGGTGCAGATTCAAAGGGATCTTCCGGTAACTCTGTATATGTCATAACAAGGCTTTCGCGGCTCTTCACTCCGCTGATACTGGTATTGCTTCCTCTTCTTATCTTGTCGAATTCAGCACCGAAGATATGATCTTCCGTCAACTGATTGAAAGGCTGTACATCCTCGAACGGATTCCACGCGGCTACGTCCGAACTCAATGATTTTCCCTCTGATCCCATTAGGCTTGAAAGTTCGCCCTGATAAAACAAATCTTTAAGTATTAAGTGTTTCTGAACAAAACTCGCAATATCCTAACAATTGCTAAAAGTAATGTGCAGTGCATAAAATAATATACAATCGTACAAAGACATGAAGAAATCAAATTGTAAACATAAAACATAAAAATCTTAGTTTTTTCTATGATTATAAAAAAAAAGTTCTGTTGGGTTTTTGTTATTTCTTTTGTTTTGTGATGTATATAAATAAAGACATGATTTTAATCAATAACGTATAAGAATGAAAAAATAAAGGTCATAAAACATGATTTGAATAGTAAAGAAAAAAAAATTAAATGTTAACAAAAAATAAAAATAAATAATAATTGTGCGCTTCGTCTACTTACAACACGTACATGCGAGGCACTAGTTGCTATACAAGGCCTTATATCTGGTAGTTCCGGAGGTGTGGTTGTGTCGTCGACACGTGGTTTGACTGAAGCCTCGTATGGCGCTAAAAACTGGGTGGTTTCGGTCGCAAACGCTCTGTGAACATCGAAATGGCCACTGTAATATAAATAAAAACATATTTTGACAAAAAAGATTTGCGTGCGTAGATTTAAATCTTTTTTTAACTTTCCTGTATGTCGACAATTGTGAAAAGAAAGAGCAAATATTTAAATATTACGAGAGTGTAAACAACTTCACATGTACAAATACAATAGAAACGGGCACATAAATTTGAATAGCAAACAGGCTTACTTATTGAAAGCACTCGTGTCACTGACGTTCCTCCGGTGTCGCGAGGATGACAATGTCGGACTGTCGGGAGGAGATATGCTTGAACTTATGTTTTGACTTAAACTCTCAGTTTTGTTAACCGGTTTCGGTAGAGCTGGTGGTGTCACGGTCGATGGAGTCGCTTTGTTAGGCCCCGACGGAATTGATAATTTTGATGGTAAAGAAGCAACTGGTGGATATTTCGATGACGGTGTGTAACTAGGATTAGATAACTTCGAAAGGATTTTGCCGGGTTTAGGAGCAACGGGAGGTGGTATCTTGGCAGGTGGCGGCATCGCTCTTGCATCATCCTTAAATGGATCTGGATATCCTGTAAAAACACAAAAAACTTAATTACGTTTTATTACGTGTTGCATTTATTTTTTTTAAGTTTGGACAAAGTGCTGTTTACATTACCTGATGGCGGGAACAAGGCCTCCAAATTTTGTTCGTTCACGTTTGTCGTTGCTCTTGCATCATGTTGCCTCGAGTCGAAATAAAACGCGCTTTTGTCTTGCACAGTCACGGGAGACTGTTGAGTTAGAGGAGAGTGACTGATCATCGGGCTTTGCGACGGTTGTCCTTGTGGCTGGCTGAAGGGAACATTCTGACTGGGAGTGCAAATCTGCGGCGATACCTGACAAAACGAAAAATTATTATATTACCAGAATGTTAATGAGAAATTTGCTAGAAAAAAGTTCATATATTTTTTCTAAAACAAACTGCAATTATGATTATTTATTTATTAGCTTTACTTGAGTGTAAGGAATAGAATTTCCTGGCGTAGTTTGCGTCTGATTTCCTTGGCCTGATATTTGACCGACGATTTGACCGCTCAAACTGATCGGTCCTGTGCTGACAGCTTGTCCTTTCGGTCTCTGCCTAGGCGTCACCGATGTGCCTTCAACTGGCGTCGCTAAAGGCGCCGGCTTTGGAGTTTTCACAGATGTCGATCTTTTAACATTCTCGGATTCCATGAGCGGACACGGTAAGGATTCGATTGTTGGTGTCGGGACTTTCTGTTAAAATATAAATCCAATGCGAAACAAATTATAAGAAATCTCAGATATGTAACTATCATACACGTTTCATAGAGAACCGAAGATTTATAGTAAATCACATACATGTAGGTTTTGCACAGGACACTCTTTGCCTTGAATTTGAAAAGCCACAGCGGAAACTTGATAGATATCAGGACGTAGATCGGGATCTGGCTCAAGCATGTATCGAATTAAGCAATGGAGAGCTTTGCTATATCTGCAACATCAGACCGTTTTACTGACCAATATTATCCCGTAATATTATTCCTTATTTGTTAAATGATTAACAATTAAAAAATATATATTTACATAAACCGTATATTTTTTATATACCTTGAATTATCTGGTATTGTAAAATTTCCCGACTGTATAGCAAGCGTGCTCTCGCCGAACGGTAATGTAAAAAAGCAAAGTTTATACAGAAGACATCCCAAAGCCTGAAAAGCAGAAATTCAATATAAAAAAAAAAAAAAATATACCTGCATAATTCCGTTGAGATTTATCTTAGCTTGATTCATGATTGTGTTAAGTTCAAACTGTTAAATATAATATAACGCTATATACGTACCCATATGTCCGCTTTCGTGGTGATAGGTTTTCCGCAATACATATCGACCATTTCGGGCGCTCTGTAACTTAACGTGGTGTATTTCTTTATTTCCTCCTCGACTATCGTGGCGCCGTGAACGCTGGGATTGAGAATTTTTCCCGTCGCAGATCCGAAGTCGCACAGAACATAATGACCGTTGTCGGCGAGCAGTATATTTTCAACCTATGATAAGACAATTAAATGATGATTAAATATAGTTCACTCCAGGCGTGTGTATTTGCACGCGCGACGACGTATATTACATAACAGTCATTAGACAGCTCACCTTGAGATCTCTGTGAATTATAGGAGTTTGACAATGATGCAATCGAGACACTGCTTCGCATACATCACAAAAAATTTGCAGAACTTCTGCCTCAGTGAAACCTGTTTGCAACCTATAAACAAAAACAAAGCTAATAAATGCTATAAATTCAAAGATTTCGCAATCATTGAACATTGAGAATATTAATTGTGCATAAATTAACATACATAAACGTATCTAAATATAAATACACATGTGTGAGTATATATAAACACGGATGAATATAAAAATAAATAAATAAATAATACATATATGTAACAAAAAAGAAAGAAGCGTATAAACACAACTATTATTTACCTGTTATTCATCATTTGAAGAACTTGGGATTTACAATAAGGCATCAGAAGTAGAAGTTCGTGTACTCCTCCACCAGTATGAGTTATGCTACTATCTACATAGCCTATGATATTTTTATGACCGCTCAAGTTGCTCTACAAACAGAAGTATTTCATTCGAGTTTACACAAGAAATATCATGTGGATTCACATAATATAAAGAAACACATTATTGTGTGTGTGTGATTGCTTTAATATTTAATTAGATTACTAACAGCAATTTGGATTTCTCTCTTGCACACGTTGAGATCATGTTCATTGTTGACGTACATCCGTTTGAGCGCATATCGCCCACCACCCGAACCCTTGACCAAAAATACAATGGCAAATCCTCCTGTAAAACAATTGTAGTATGAGAAATTTATATATAATCCAGAAAAAAATTCAAATTTATTCACTCAGAGAGATTAATATCCATTAGAGCGATATTAATCATGTACGTAATTGAGTCAAACAAGTGTGTTAAAAATCAAAACTTAACAAGTTCCAAAATTACCGCACAACACATGCCACACACCGATAATCTGACATAGATACAATTACAATATGAATCACGATTATCGCACTTGGTGATGTAGAAAATAACACTCAGTTTTTCTTTCTCCGCTATATTGCTGTATTCAAAAAAAAAACAATTTATCATTATTTCGGTGTCTCAAAGTGCGCCAATTAAGCAAGCTATCAGCTCTAATACGTGTAATAACACTTGATAATCGGATATCCTGTGTGTATGTGTGAAGCGATTATGAATCACATTTGGAAGTACGTGTATAATATGATTAGTCGCAAAAATTGCAGTTAAAAATGAAAAAAAAAAAAAAAAACATCTTATTGTTTAAGAATATCAACAAATTTCTCGGCTACGCGTATGTGGGACATGCACAACAATATACCTCACAATCAATAGATAAAGCTTCCGAGGGAGAGTTAATGAGCCTGTTTACAAATATCGCACGAGTGCAGACAGAATTGCACACGGACTGGTACTCGTCGGCACCAGCAAATCTTGCGTGTACGTACACTCGACCGAGTTAAACGGCGCACGACGAGATGATCTCGCGAAGAACGATAATTTCACGTACAAGAAACGCGCGGGCGGTCGTTCGAACGGAAAAGAAAAAAAGCGGAATAGACAGGTGGGGGCGGGAGGACTGCGCGGCAAGGTTGGAGCGGAATAAGACGGAGAAGGAGAAGGAGAAAAAGAGAGAGAGAGAGAGAGAGAGAGAGAGAAGAAGAGAGAGCGAGACATTTATTGCTACGCTCCTAAACAGGCCCTTCGCAAAGTAGAGGAGAAAATGACACGCAGATGTTAGTAAAAAAATAAAATAAAAACAAATAACAATCATTACGCACCTTCCGCCAAAACCTCTTCGACGGTGACCGAGTGACGGCCCACCAGGAACACCTTGCCCAGATAACTGTTGGGCTCCTTCGACGTGTTGTCGATCTTAGAAAACAACTTCTTCATGTTGACGCGCTTCGTCCTCGTCGTCGTCGCCGACTTGACATAAGGCCCCTCGCGCTCCGCTCCGCTCCGGCTGCTCCTTCGCTGATCACCGCCGATCACCGCCGATCACCGCCTCCTCCGGAACGGCACGGCACGGTACGATAACGGTGGCACGGCGCGATCTGGCGCGGCGCTCTCTCGATCGGATCTCCTCTCCTTCTCCAGAGAAGAGAGAAAGATAGAGATAGAGAGATAGAGAGAGAACGCACCGTTCCCCCGATTCCCGGTAGCAACGGACTACGTTGCGCGGCGCGATCTCGTCACGCGTTAAATCGACCCCGACGTACCTAACCGAGGGAAATCGCCACGGTGGTGGTCATGATAACAGTCGTCAACGCGTATCATACATCATTCCGCCGCTCCTCTCTCGGCAGCTCCTCGGGTCGACACATTCAGGCCGTGGACAACTGCGCAGTCGCGCCTCCGCAGCGGCGACGTCGGAAACATATGTGCACTACTTCCGGCCGAATGTCAAATCGTCCGTTGGTTGGTGTTCTCGTCCGACTGTTGTGGCGCCGCGTCACGGGGATTTTTTTCCAGAAGGCAACCGACGCGTCTTATCAACCGACGGCAAAACATCCAAACGAAATCGGTTCGCGTAGTTCACGTTAGCGACACGTGGATCATCGTGAAACGTTTTGCGACTTTTCTATTTTGATTACAAACACACAGTTTGTGATGTCACGCGACGTAAAACGATTTGTAACAACATCCACAAGTGCAGGGGATATTTTAGATTTGCTTTGATTTGCTTTGTCTGGTGGATACGCCACAAGGTAAGCTGCCAAATTTATATTATTCGAATATTTTATTAAACAGTTTGTTGGTAAGGAGACAAAGGGTAGTGTTTTTTTTTTTTTTTTTTTTTAAACTAAAATGCTAGTCGCTCTTGGAGCAGTAAACGAACGTGTTACTTCACTTGTTTGTTTTCTTCAAATGTCCCCAATTTTCAGAAAAGAGAAACTGTGCGAAACAGAGTTCTGGGACACACTTGATGAGAAAATTAGGCGCATATGTGTGTTTTACAAAGAAATAACTCGTTTAGCGATAACAACAGCTGACGGTCAATAAATACCGATGAGTCTATTGATAAACGCGCACTATTTGGCAGCGAAAACACACAAGTTCTCAACTTTGTGAATCATGCGTACGGATCGCTTTAACCGTCCCCGTTCCGAAAACCAAGTAAAACAGCACGGAAAACTCGGGACGGGCGCCAAAAACGTTCTTCTGCGAAGAAAGCGGTGATAAACGACGTACGTCTCTCCGTCGCGCGAAAACCTTGCTTCTGAGGAGACCGCCGCCGGAGTCGAGTTCAACGACCAGATGCAAAGATTAGAAACGCGCAACGGTGCGATAAGACGGCGAAAAAAAAATTAAAATCCGTTATTAATTCGCGTTTGTTGGCTACCTGTCGAAAACGTTTCACTCGAGTTTTCGAAATTGCATTTGTTTTTTTTTGTAATGCAAACGCGATATAAAGTGTAGCTTCGTTTTAATTTGTTTTTGTCGATCACGCTCTCTTCTTCGAAAGTGACGGTTGACGCGCGTGACGTAAACGAAAGCCAATCAATCGCCCAACTCCCATTCAGTGGATTCCCGTCACGGTGGGTCCACAGGATGATCAATGAAGTGATAAAACTGGAAGCGTGTAGCTTAATAAAACTGGTTCTAATCGCGGAGCCAAGGATCGATACATGTTTTAACACGTCACACGCGTTAACATAATTGAACACCGCGGAGAAAAGACTCATGTATAGTTGCCTCTATTATCTCTTTAAGCTTTTTTATAATGGAAACTTAATGACCAACACGGTCAAGTTTCAGAGACGAGGGGGAAGGTATCGATTAATTTTCTATTATATAAAATTTAATTTTCTATTATATAATATAAGGGAAAATTTTTTGTTTTTAATAAACTTTTTATCTTGCTCGAAGACCAACCACCTTTTCTGAACGGGCAAACTCCATGTTTTTTTGTTCTTTTTTTTTTTTTAATTCAGGAAGTTTGAGTGAAGAAAAGCGAAAAAAAAAAAACAAATTTGATCTCTCGCTTTATTTGCGGCGACGAGACGCACGTTGCACGCGTGTGCAACGTGCCTCCATAAATAGTCGTTAATTGAATGCACTACCTGAAAAACAGATTACGTGACTTAGTACGTAAACCGATCTTACGTACATACGTATACAATCTGCGGAGATTGTTTTCTGGAATAACGATAAAAGAGCGCCCCGTTCCGTAACACCGATCTATTTTCGTTGAAAAGATCATTTTTATTTCCTAGGTTTTATTCGCCGTGTGTGTTCGCCAAAACTTTCTCCAAATGATCCCTGTCGTTACATACGCGTCGTGTTGTTAGAAATAAGAAATTCTCAGTCAACAATAGCTGTGTGTAGAAAATGCTCGAAGTGCAACGCTCGAGGAATCGGGTCGCGACGTCGCTCACATGTTCGCCTGGCGGCAACGGCGAAATTATTGCCACGCAAAATTGTCGCTCTTTTATTTGTTACGCGTCGCGCCGGCGACGTAACGTGTCCCACGCAAATACATAGGCTCGCGACGCCGCAACCAACTGCACGCATTATCATTCCATCGTGCCATTTGTCGCAACGTTTGTACATGTCTCGCGTCAATTTTTAAGACAATTTTTCGATATTCGTCGAACTTATTATTACAACAAATACAATTAGATTTGATAAATAATTGGTTTAATCGTCGCCTTTCTTCCGAAATGGAAATTATTACATACATGTCTTTCCGAAACGTAATAAATGAACGGCGTCGTTTCTTCTCGGAAGAAACTCCGAGAAAAAAAAAAAAATATAACCGCGCGGTGCTTTCGATTAGCGACTTAGCCACGGTTGTGATTTACGACGTGTGTGTAGCGCGCATTACGCACAGATGCGAGAAGAAGAGAGCCGCTGACATCTCTTGCGCGCACAAGCCCGTCGGCGCCGCGCACGCGCGTCGCGTTGTTTCGCGCGCACTTGCTATAAATAGTGGTGGTGAAAGTTACCGCGGTTAGTATCTTGCGCACAGTTAATGCGAGTAGACGAGGGTTTTCGTTTCGCATAACACAGAGCCGCGCGAGCGAGACGTGCATAATTTTTGAATTCTCAGTTTCACGTCGCGTCTTCGCTGAAAAATTCATCTCTGATTTCAGCGAGCCACAATTCGAGCTTTTGACGTTTTGAGATCTTGTTTGCACGTTCTACAAGGGATCCGCACGTGCTCCGTTTGAGAGAGACCTTGCGTCTACGGTCGTCGACGAGTGCGCACACATCGTCAAGGCGAGCGAGAAGATAAGAAATCGCACACAGACCGAGAAGAGGATGCCGGCCGACGTAGCGATGCACACCAACTTCCTGCAATTCAATCAGTCCGGTCTGAAGGACTCGAACGTGAATTCCTGCTGGAACACCGAGAACATGAGCGGTTACATGACGCTGATCGGACCGAACGGTCATCGACAGGGCGTTCAGGTGAAGGTCTACCGTACCAGCGTGGAGCACTTCGCCGTGATCTATCCGCAGAAGAAGGTCTGTCGGCCGCTCGGTGTTCTGAATCTGAGGAACACGACCATCGAGCGTTACGGCGACGAGGGTTTCCTGGTGAGACAGAAGGGATTCGATTCGCCGTTCGCTCTGACTTTTCTCATGGAAAACAAGAAGGAGCTGGACTACTGGATACTCGCGTTCACCGCTCGACACAGCCCGCCGGTGCATCAGAGCAGTCTGCCGATCGTCGAGGAGGAAGAGATCTAAAGAGATCTCGCGTTGTTCCACGAGTGACGCGTGCCGTGTCAAGCTGAATCGACACGACGCGAATCGGCCGAAAGCCGCAAGTCAAACGGAAGATCGGTTCTTCGTTCGACACACACGAGGACGTCGCGAAAGCCTTCCGAATGTTTCCGAAATTTTCCGGACGAGAGCACATTCTCGTACGTAATTTACGTTATCTATAGAAGGAAGAGGAAGAGATGGCCGCGTGTTAATTCCAGCAGATTTATTTTAAAACATACAGATGTGTCAGCGCAATTTCCTCTTTCTCGTGGAAAAAAGCTCTTCCAGATTTTTCGAAGTGCATTTGACACATCGGCGAAATCGCGGGTCCTTGGAAAGAAGTCTTTGAACGTCCGATCCGATCGAACCGGTCAGACACGCAAGGTGTCGGCAAGGAACAATCAAATGAGATTTGAACGAGATCTCACGAATTCGTTCCCTGCGTATTAAGTCGCGCACGTTGCCGGATTCGGTGGCGGCGGTCGTGTCGTGACGAGGCCATGTTGGCATTAAACCCTAGCAGCCAGCATCATCGATCCCGGCCAGCTGTGACCAATCGCGGCGTACCTTCTAACCGGAGTCGGAGCGACTACTAGAAAGATGCGGGAGAATAAGAGAAGGAAGATAGAAGGACCGAGAAAGCAACGAGCAGAAAAGTAGGGAAGAAGAGATGGTGCTCGACAGGAGGCATTTTTTTCCTTTGGGACTGCCTACGCGCGTCGACAACCGTCGTCGCACACGCTCGACGCCCCTTTCTATGCGGAAAACAACCGTTAACTTCGACCTAGCAACCGCCACACGTTTCCCGACCCGTTCCCGGCCAGAAGAGACGACCTTTCTCGGGATGCGGTGTCAGAGACCGGAGGGAGGAGCGCGCCTTCGTTTCCTTTCATTCGCGCTTGGCTTGCCCCGAGCACCTTGACGGGGAGGCCTCGGCAAGCCCAATTATTATCCGCAACCGGATCGAAAGACGTGAGCCTGATCTCGTTGAATATTTAATGAGCAACGCTTCCTTCCCGTGACTGCTCAGCGCGACCCTGTGGATCGGCGGTTGTTCCTTTTTCCCTTCGTCGGAAGGTTCTTCCGGAGATCCGCGCGATGGGAAAGGCGGCGTCATTAAGTATCATTACCGGCGTAGTTTATATATAGCAACGAATGTATCATTAGTTCTTACGAAGCACACGCGCATCCCAGTAGGATTAATTCGATCGGCACAAATTTTTTTAATGCAATGTTTGTTTTTTTTTTTTTTCATATGAGTATTTTTGTTACCAATGGATTTTACAGAAAAAAAAAGTTTGCGCAAATGATTTATGTACGTATTTGATGAAAAATATGTCAGAATGGTAGTTATGCAATTTTTTGGAATCGATTCCGATCGCGGCAATTTCGCTTTTTTTTTTTTTTTTATTGCTCCGTTGCGACAACTGAGAAAAGACGAAAATCGCAACAGTTCAAAAGTTCCTTTGACCAGCCGCGAAAGCGTCAAATATAAAAAAGAAAAAATCTCCGATCGGAAAATCAATTCCGAAAAATTATGCAACACCTGTCTCCTGGTTCGTTACGTAATTTCTGACAATCAACCGAACAATCTTTACAATCGCACT